AAGAGGCAGCCAACACCGTAGACCTCAAAGTGGTAGAAGACATGGAAGTTGATGAGAAGGAAGTGGTAGAGGAGATGGAGGTGGAGGAGGAGGGGGAAGAGGAGGAGGCCATGGATGTCGACCCGCCAGCACCACCTCAGGCACGTCTTCCCCATCCAGTACCTGCAGTGAGGGAGGGTCTCCTGCCACCGGGCTGGGGCTGGAGTGGCTGGGGTCCCGCTCCAGGGACACGGTCCCCCCACATGGCGGCACGAGCCCCCCTCCCCTTTGGGATGGGAAGGGTTTCTTGGGGCTGGGACAGCCCAGTGTCACCCGCAGCCCAGCCGGGGCTCAGCGCTGGCGGCAGAGTCCCGCTCTCCCCAGCGTGGCCCAGGGCTGTGCCCATCGAATGCCCCTCAGGGCCAAGCCCGACCCCAAGCAGCTGCTGCCGCTGAGCCGGCTCGGGAAGGCCCAGCTCTGCTCGGCGAGGCGCTGCTCCTCAGCCACACGGCCGTGACGCTTGCTTTGCTTCCAGGGCCAGCAGAGGAGCGGGGACCGGCGGCGAGAGAGAGGAGCGAGGAAGAGGAAGAGCTCGACATAGTTGGAGATGGTTGTTGTTGTGTTTGTGAAGAGTTATACGCGTTTTGTTCTTAGAGAATTACCTGTTTTTTAGTTCTTAGTGTTAAGTGTTTATTGTTCGTCAAGAGTTGGGTTGTGTTCTTAGAGAGTTACCTGTTTGTTAGTTCTTAGTGTTAAGTGTTTGTTGTTCATCAAGAGTTGGGTTGTGTTCTTAGTTACCTGTTAGTTCTTAGTGTTAAGTGTTTGTTGTTCGTCAAGAGTTGTGTTGTTTCCCTCATGTTTTGTTGTTAATAAAGAGTTGTGTGTTTGCTTGTTCCTAAAGAGTTGTCATCTGTTCATCCCCAAGCTCTGTCTGTGTTTCCTTGGGCACCCGCAGCGTTTGCAGAGCTGTGGTTGCCACTTGCTGGGGGTTGGCGGGGCTGGAGGGGGCTGGGGGTGCTGGCACGGCCGCCCCGCGGGCAGGGGGTCCCTGTGCACTGAGGGGGTCCCGCCGGTTCAGGTGAGGGCACTGGGCACCAGCGGGGTTCCTGGGCTGCTGGAGGGGGCTGTCCCCAACAGCCAAGGTGTCCCCAGCTAAGCCCGAGCTCTCCAATGACCGACCCCTTCCGTGATGCCATCAGAGCCGGCAGGAAACCTTCTGCTGCCCTGGCTGCTGGAGGGAAAGGAAAGGGCCTCACACGGCACCACCAGGATCAGGCCACCGAGATGCGTAACGCAAAATCTTTAAGATTTGGAACCTACACAGCCTCAGGTGTTTACTTCTCCTCCTGCCCTCCTTTCCTGTGTGCCATGCGAAGACAAACAAAGCCATCCTTACCCCGCCACCATTCCTGCTCCTGGCAGCAGCCCCATTCCCTGGTCCCCACTCGGGGCCACTGGTGGAGTGGGGCAGCACTGTCTTCTGGAGGGGAGGCTGCGGAGGATTTGGAGAGAGGGAGTTGTTGAAGGGGTGCCATGGGGCCCGTAGGCGCAGGGTCCCTGGTTTTTGGGTGCCAGGGAGCCGGGGGTGCTGGCAGAGTCCCGAGGGGATGTGACACTGTGCCTTCCGTGCAGGGGGGCAGGATGCGGGGCGCCGTGGGGCGGGGTAGGATGCGGGGCGCCGGGGCTGCGGGTACGGGGCTGCTGCCGGGCGCTCGTTAGCCGCGGCCCCGCCCCCTCTTTAATTAGCCGCGGCCACAGCCGCTCATTAGCGGCGGCCGGGGTCGGGTCCCCTCCCCGCGGAGGCGGCCCGTAGGCGCAGGGTCCCTGGTTTTTGGGTGCCAGGGAGCCGGGGGTGCTGGCAGAGTCCCGAGGGGATGTGACACTGTGCCTTCCGTGCAGGGGGGCAGGATGCGGGGCGCCGGGGGGCGGGGTAGGATGCGGGGCGCCGGGGCTGCGGGTACGGGGCTGCTGCCGCCTTCTGGAGGGGAGGCTGCGGGGGAATTGGGGAGAGGGAGTTGTTGAAGGGGTGCCATGGGGCCCGTAGGCTCAAGGTCCCTGGTTTTTGGGTGCCAGGGTGCCGGGGGTGCTGGCAGAGTCCCGAGGGGATGTGACACTGTGCCTTCCGTGCAGGGGGGCAGGATGCGGGGCGCCGTGGGGCGGGGTAGGATGCGGGGCGCCGGGGCTGCGGGTACGGGGCTGCTGCCGGGCGCTCGTTAGCCGCGGCCCCGCCCCCTCTTTAATTAGCCGCGGCCACAGCCGCTCATTAGCGGCGGCCGGGGTCGGGTCCCCTCCCCGCGGAGGCGGGTGGGGAGCGTTATCGGCCATGGGGGTGCGGGCACCGGTACCGGCAGCACCGGCGGGGCTGGAGCCCGGGCTGCGTGGGGATGGGGCGGTGTCGGGGCACGGCCGTGCTGCTCCTCGCCTTGGGTAAGGCTGCCCGGAGGGGGTCGGGGTCCTGGGTGCCCGGGGGGGGGATCTGGGGTGCTGGGCTGAGGATGCCCCGCTCCCTGGGGTGTGGAGGCGGGGGGCGATGCGGGGGGCGATGCGGGGTCCCTTCTCCCTCCTCCCTGGCTCGGTGCTGGGTGTCTCTCCCCGGTGGGTACCGGCTGCCAGGGCTGAGCTGGCCGTCCCCCCCACGGCGGTCCCTGCTCTCCGGGCCGGGGGTGCCGGTGCTGGGTGCTCCGGCGGCCCCCACCTCGGCTCCCTGCCCTGGGGGAGCAGGCAGGGCTGGGTAAGGGGACGGTGTGGGGCTGGTGTGTGTCCTGCTTGGAAGGGGGAGGTTGCCACTCATGGGTGGCACCAGCACTGTGTTGGCCCAGGGAGGGAGGTGGGCTCTGCCCCCCAAGGTCTGGGTTGCTGACGCTGACCCCCTCGGTGGCTGGCAGGACACCTGGCCGGGCTGCTGGCATCGGGCACCGCCTGTGCCAACGTCTACCAAGGCTTCTCGGACTGCGTCCTCAAGCTGGGGGAAAACATGGCCACGTACGAGGAGGAGGATGGCGTGGAGCTGCAAGGGTTGCACCGAGTCTGTGGGTGAGTACCACCCCACCCCAGGACCCCCTGCGTGTCCCATCCTGGGGGGACAGTCCCTGGAGGAGGGGCGGGTTGGGGGTTTATCCATGGTGCACGGCCAGCATGGCTTTTTTGGCATTGCCCCTGTGCTGAGTGCTGGTGCCTGAGCTCTTCTTCTCGGTGTGTGCAGATGTACGTGTGCTCCCCACCCTGCTCTGGTTTCAGGCAGACCCAGTGAGTTCCTTCCATCCATCAGCTGCAGGGCTTTAGCAGGAGTTGGCATCCCTGGTCCTTACCAATATCTCCAGCCCCAGTGACTTGTCCTGTGACCCCCTGCAGCTGGGAGGAGTGGGGCTGCTGAGATCTTCTGTCCCCCTTGGAAAGGACACCAGGGTTTCAGCCAGTGACTTGCAGGTGGCCGGGCTGTCCCATGGCACAGCACTGCACCCCCAAACCAGTCCTTCTCCTTCCATGAGGAGACCTTTCCAGCTGACCCCTTTTGTTCTTTTGGCTTAAATCGACCCCACCCCTGGAGTTGGTGAGTTTGTAGTGAGTGCCCCAAGATGATGGTGTTGGTAGGACGTTAACTTTAGCAGAACTGAAATAATAGGAAAAAGAGCTGGGTGATGAGGGTGGTGTTGGGAGGGTTTGGGGAAGGGTCTGCTTCAAAAGCAAAAGAGCAGAAGCAGGTTAAAGGGGGGGAAAGTAGAAGGGTGGTAATAAATGTTTGCAGGGATAAATGGGGGGGACCTCTTTGTCCCCAGCTGTGAGTTGTGGGGAGCGCAAAGGAGTTACAAGGGAACGCAGACAGCAATTAAGGGAAAACCCAGGTGCCTTGGGGTGGTGGAAAGCTGCCAGGGCAAGGTGGAGGGCTGAGTCCCTGTGGGTCAGGCTTTCCAAGCTGCTGAAAAAGCACCCCATGGGCTGGGAGGGGAAGGCATCACCCTTAGCAGTGGGGTGGAGGCTCTGGGACCCGCTTCTTGGTGCCAGCACCTCTGGCTGGCATCTGTCAGGGCTGCAGCTGGGGTGAGGGGGTCGGTGGTGGCAGGTCGGGCTCTCGGCAAGCTGGGACAAGGAGCCGGTGCTGCTGCAGAGGCAACAGAGGGTCCCCAGCCCTGCTGCCCACCTGCCCCAGCCAAAATATCTAACTTCGGTTGTTGCCAGAAGTGGAAAACACTTCAACAAAACTCATTTTCTCAAGGAGAATGGAAAATTAAACACTCTCAATTTTCTAAAACTTGCTTATTTTGTGCACGCGTTCCCCTACCAGCAAACGTGCCGGTGGGAGCTTGGCTGTGACTGCTCTTTATTCCCCCCTCTCCACGAGGCAGGCTAGCTCAGCTCAGGATGAAAATTCTCTCTGGGATGTGGCTGAAGGCTGGGTTGGAACAGGACCTGTTCTCAGTAGTAATATGTACTTGTTTGGTTTTTTTTTTTTAACATGTGGCTTCTTGGTGTTAGAAAACAACGGAGCACACAGCCCAGCACACGCTGTGGTTGACTGCCAGAGGAGTGATTCCTCTGCTGAAACTCACAAGAAATGTGTGAGATGAGGGTTTTTTACAGGCTCTGGGGCACGAACCATCACAGAACAGGTCCTAGGATCATCCTTACTGGAGCTCTGCGCCTTCAGGGCTGTGCCAGCTTCTCCTGCCAGTCCTGGGTGGGTTTGCTGTAGCTGGAGGAAGGTGGTGATGATGTTCCACCTTCCTGCCAGGAAGTTTCTCTGAATTATTTGCCTTTAACCCTCATCCTTCTCTGCTCATGTCAGCTTTTCTGGAGCTGTGGTCCCCTCTCTGGGAGTACGGGTGAGGGACAGGCATGGAGATGGGACCCAGCATGGGGCTGGTGGCATCTTGGCTCTGCATGCACTGTGCTGCCCCGGAGCAGACAGCAGCCTGCCTGGCTGAGCAGATGGAGGCTGTGAAGGGTGAAACAGTGGGACTTGCCATCCCAGATGAAAGCTGAACCAGGCAGGACCAGTCATCCTTCCCCCAGCCATCCCTTGCCCAAAGACACAGCCAGGTTTAACCCCCACCTGGCAGAGCTGCCTTCTGCTGATGCTCAGGAATGAGCGTGGGAGGTTACCTGAGTTGGCACCAGGTTTTCTCATTATCTGGAGACATTTATTCTGCCACGGTGACTCGGTTTAATGAACTTCCTCACAGCTGGCGTTCTGACGTAAGCCCTGGTAGGAAAACTCAGTAAGTGGAGTGCTCGGGTCCACCTGTCTGCCCAAAGTGTGCAGGTCAGTTGGACAAAACCAAGGTGCCCCTTTCCCACGTTGCAGGATCCCTGCTCAGCTGGCTGGGCTCTATCTCCTTCCCAAGGGGTGGCAAGTGTGCTGGTGTCCTGGTGGGATGGGGACAGATTCCTTTCCTCTGTGCTGGCCCCACCATGCTCCTCCTGGTACAGTCTTCTCCGGGGCTGCAGTTTTCAGCTCTGTTTCTTCTGGGATTTCTCCCTGCCTGGTTCTATCTCTGGATTGAGGCAGGGGGAAGGGGGGGGCAGTGGAAGTAAAAATCCACATTTCCATCCCCAGGGGAGGCAACTTCAGTGAGCAGCTCCTGATTTTTTTTTTTACTGCAGGACTGCAGGTTATCTTCACCTGTCTTGTTTTCCCCTGGTGCTCCTCCTCAAGAGCCTCTTTCCATTGAACGGCTTCTACTCCTGGAGGGTAATACCTGGCAGATAAATGGAGATGTGTCTAATGAGAACACAGTCAATAACTCCTCCTGCCCATACCTTAGTTATAAAGCTGCCACCGTCTGCGGGAGACGTTGTCCTTCTCTCTTTGTGCTTGCATTTCGCCCTTGACTCAGCTTGGAGAAAACTGTGAATGAAATATGCTGGGCCTTTGTTTGCACCCCTTTTTAGATACTCAAGGTGCTCAGTGGCAAAGGGAGATATTTGTTGATGGAAGATAATGGATTTTATTGACTTCCAGAGAAAGAGGGGGGGGAAAAAAAAAAGCATGAAATAATTTCAGTGTGTTTTGATGTTTGGAGTTCGTGCCGAGATGCTCTGGGAGATGATGGAGGGGAGGACAAAATACTGAGGTGGCTGCTGCTCAGAGGGCAGGCTTGGGGCAGAGAGGCTCTGCCCGGCCCCTTGGCATTGTGCTGCTGCGAAGGAGCTGATGGTGCGGTGTCTCCCCTGGCTGCAGGTACTGGGATGAGTTTCAGACGTGTGCCCTGGCGGCGCTCTGGGAGTGCCAGAAGGAAGCGGTGGCCGTCTGGGAGATGCTGAGAAGGGAGTCTCGAAAAATCAAGTTTCAAGGCAGCTTGTTCGACCTCTGCAGCCCCAGCACGGCCCGGAGCTTTGCCTGGACCCGCGTTCCCAACGTTTCCATCCTCAGCATCCCCCTCATCGTCACTTGGCTGAACTTGTAAACGGCAGCTCTGTAAGTATCGCAGCAAAGGTGGCGGCAGCGTGTGGCGTGTCATTTTTCCCAACCTTTGAAGAACGGGAACCCAACCTTGAGGAACCACCTTTGTGGTGCTCAGCGAACGCTTGGCTCCATCCTGCACCTGTGAGACATGGAAGAGCTCAGCAGCATCTCCCGTTTTTCACTGTTTCTCTATAATTTGGAGTAACATCTGTCCCCTTCTGCATCAAGGCACAGGCGCAGATCTGGCTGACTGCAGAATTTGGGAACTTGTAGATACAGGGCAGAGGATTTGGGGAAAAAAATGATAAATTGGTCATGAACACTGGATTCTCTTGTCCTCTTCTATGGCTACTGGAAGGAAACCTGTTTACTTTGCTGACTCTTTCCACCAGACCGACTCCCCCAGTTTCTGATTTGGGCCATGAAAACAAGATGAGCATTTTTACCACTGATTTGTGAGGTGCAGAGGATGATGTATGTCCTGTCAAAGGCAGAAAGGAGACCTCACTGCCCTGTACTGGCCTTTTTGCTTTGAGGACATGGTGAAACTTCTGCTGAAGAACAATCTCAGGTGCATGACCTATTCTCGCACACATCTGGATTCCTGTGTAAATCCCATGTAATGTGTAAATCCCTTTTCTAAGGAAATAGAGGACAAAAATGTTTGGGGAAGAGGGGAGTGTGAAACTAGCATGACAAAAAGGATTTAGAGCAACTCTTTTACTTTAAAGCTTTCTCCAAAGGTTCCTGTAAGCAGCTGTGTGGGTGGCAGTGTGTAATTCCAGAGTATTAAAGTTTGTTGTAGAGTCTACAGTGTTAAGTTTCTTTACCCTAAGTTTCCTGCAGCAGAGTCTCCGATGTAAAATCCCATTAAGTAATTTATTTGAATGCTACAGCAGCATGAACAGCTTGAGCTGGGGGCCTCTGTGGAGAACAACATAGAAATTTGGGCAATTAGAACCTGAGTTCCAACCCCTCATGTGACAGTTTGGGTTCTTCTCATTCCTCACTGGATCCTTTCTCCATGTCCAGGAGGGCCATTCCTTCTCTTTTGCTGGCGGCTGCAGCTACCTTATCTTCCAGCTTGAACCACCTCTGGGGCCTTATTTTACTTAATTGGGTAAAATTCAAAATATCTAGGTGGAAGTTCACAACTTGCAGCCTGAGGCTTCAGCAAGATGCTCATGTAAGCCTTTGACAGTGCAAGCACCGTCGTTCAATTACAGTTCACTCTCAGTGCTCAACAACAAGGCTAAAGTCTTATTTGTTAATATTCCTCAACCACAGCACGGTAGAAGTTACTTGTCCTGCCTCCTGCTCAACAGCAAGACTCTTCTTGCCTCCTTTGTGGCTCTGAGCCTTGTTTGTTTTGCGGCTTCAGTCCAAGCATGATGGTATTTGCTTACAAGTGATTTCTGGGTCTGTTAGAAACTAGGCAGTATTTGGGGGCAGTATGATGCAATTCTGTGTTTTAAGGATGCTAAGGAAGCTCTGTGCCCTGCCTGGCTGCACAGTGACCCAGCGTGGGTCTGTAAGCTGTTCCTGTGAGGGTCTCTGGGCAGTTCCTCACTAAGAGGAACCATACTGAGTCCTGATGGGACTTTCTGCTGCTTATGATGTGTTTCCCCATGTGGTGCTGCCACTCCGGAATGGGGAGGGAGATGGTCTTCATCATGCTCTAAACTAGGGCTTGACAGCTGGATGTGGTGGTAAAATCCATGTTCTTCTACTGGGGCTCAGCGGTCTTTCATCAGATCTTAAAATTCCACGTTCAACTAATGAGGTGTTTCAGGCTGACTTTCCTAGATCTGTCACACGTCCCTTTGGCTGCTTCCACAGACTGTTGGTCCCTGACAAAGGGCACTTGCTGTGTCCTCAGTAGGGGCAAGAAGCCACTACCAGCAAAGGGTGTCTCTGTGCCCAGCTGGGGAAGCTCATGGTTCTGAGAAATATTGAGCGAGGCCCTGGCACTGATGGTCTGAGTGCTGCCTGTTGTGGGGACGGGCACAGCAATAGATACCACCAGTTGTAAATGGATCCAGGAGGTTCTGAAATGCTGTCCCCATACCTGAAAATGTGCTTTACAATGTGGGCAGGGAATCCGGGTTCCTGAGAGCCCCAGAGATCCCACTGGATGCGTTACAGGCACATGGACAAGCCTCTCCTACAGCAAAGGAGCTTTTTACCAACAGTGGTGTTGGGCTTTTTAATGGTGGGTCATGCTGCTCTGCTTTGGCATTCACGTGTTCTTCTTCTTACCTTCCTTCTCACTTAACACTCTGCTCCTGCAGCAGCAGGAGGGAATGAATAAATCGAGGCAAATTCCAAGAAATAAGTCGGGGAGGAGCAGCTGGTGTTCAGGCAGCACTTCAGCGTGAGGCACCCGGGCTTTTTACAGATAAGAGTTGTTACTTATGGACTTGGCACCTCAGACACAAAGCCTGAAGATAAGTAGTGGAGGAAGGGTAAAGCAGAGCACTGCAGCACCCGGAGCAAACCACTCGGCTGCTTCAGTTTTCCTTCTTATTCCACTCCCACAGCAGCGTGTGCTGTTTGATCCTGTTCCCCCCTCTCCCTGGTATCTCTTCTCCTGCCTCTGGTCTGTAGCTGGGAAAGCTGAAGCTGGTGGGTATCGTGTACAACTAAGGCTGAAGTCTTCTGGCTCCAAATCCTGTACCTGCTCTGCATTTAGGTGTTTAATGCCTTCAGGAAAACAAATAAGCACAGCCCTCCCCTCCCCCCCAATCCCACACCTTCTCTTTGGATCGGGCATCTTCCTCTCGGTTAAAATCTTCTACTTTTAAACAGCTTTGGGGAAAGGGAATGTCCAAGTTTCAGCAGAAATCTTCAAGTTTTCTTTTTGCAAAACCACGGATGCAAAAGGCTCGCCGACGTTACCGCCATCTCTGAGAAGAGCAGGTGTTGGGGCATATCTTCCCTGGAAGCAAAACCTTCAACTCCATCGCACACGAAACCCAAAGATTCATTAAGAAACAAAGACCATCTGCCACCATTCTGGTACGGAGCAGCAGATTTTATTTTTAAAGCCAAAGGTGCTCCTAAATCTGACTGAAAGCATGTGAGTGAAAATTAGGTCTCACAGTAGGAGAGTGATGAGTTTCAGAGGTTCCCTCCTCAATCAATATTTCATTTTTAGCAGAACTTCCCCTATGACTAGGACAATTACAGTAGAGTTCCTTTAAAAAAAGAAAAAAGTAATATATATAGATTCAGCCTTCAAAGGCAAAGTCAGCAAGACTTTCAGAAAGAATTTCTAATCCTACAGCACGCTTCATGCTGATGAAATGCAGCTCGTTGGAACTCCCACAGACTCAGTGTTAAATCCACATTTGTCAAGGATTCTTCCTGTGGCCTTGCTCTGAGTGTCTCTGGATACAGAACTGCACGGGCTTCACACACACACACACACACACACCCCCAAGGGAGGCCGCTGAAGCAGTTGCAGCATCTCATGTATGCAGGGGAAAAAAAAAAGGAGGTAAGTGTTCCTCAGTCTGAAGTTTTCATCTCTGTTCTTACAGGGGAACAAAGATAGCTCCTCTTTTAATGTGGCCTCACAGCAAGTCTGGGTTCAGCTGCCCATTCTCCTTTAAGAAATGGGATGAATGCAGCTTCCCCTCTGCTCTCTCATCTCTGCTGTAATTAGTCTTCTAGCTCACATCTGCCTTGAGACCACCCCTGAAGAACACAGGAGCTCACACTGCGCTTTGGTGTGATGTTAAGCCTTGAATTAAATGAACCTGCAAACCTTCCCCGTGCAGGACTGGGATGTTCTTTCTCGATAACAGCAACAAAAAGCAGAAGAGGACAAAATGACCCTGAAAGTCTTAAAATACGACTGACATCAAGCCAGTGTTTGTCTGCCCGAAGGCAGAGGGTGCCTTCTGCTGTGAGCCCTCATCCCAATCGCAGGCAGGCTCATGGCTGTTTTCTGAAGGAGACACTGGCACCTACTGGAAGACCAGTTTATATCCAGGCTGAGGGTGACTGGAAGAAAGGCAAGTATCCTTATTTCTGAGAAACAAGCGGGTTCTGAGAAGGAATGAACTGTCTTGCTGACTGCACAGCAGAGTTGCAAGGGAAGCCCTAGGAAGTGACCTCTGGGTGGCCCTTCAGCAAGCGCTGGCTCCTGCCCAGAAAACAAACTTGTGCAAACTCTTCCCTCTGAATGACCGCTGCTGTTCCAGGCTCTGCTTACAGGGGTTTTCGGTCAGGAAGAGGTCCTGGCAAAATCTCAGCATATAAAAAGTTCTGGCTAAACAAATGTGACCGGCAATGCTCCTCTGTGGCAGATCTGCCAAATATTTGAAACATCAGGATGATTCTATGTTACTCTGCTCCACTTAACATCTCAGTATGAGAGCAGGAGTCGAAATACAACTCCCCCTGTAACAGGAGTCAAAAGAGCAGCTTCAAAGGGTTTATCGCCTTCTGCACCTCAAATCATCCCACCACTTCTCAACAAACTGAATTAGCAAATAATTTATGCACATTAACAAGTATTAACATACAAAGGAAAGTTAGTGCAGCAAGATGCTGCACAAGCTAAAAATCTGTCTTTAGAACTGGCTTTGCCTTCGTTTGGGACTGCACAAACTGGCCAGCCCTCAGCAGAAACCAGGCAGGAGGCAGGTCTGGTCGCTTGGGCTGGGGGAGCTGGAGGAACCATCCAGCTTTGGCCCCTTAGCAGTCAGGTGGTGTCCCTGCCCACCCACAGGTGATGTGCATCTGAAGTGCCTCTAAATAAAGGCACATCTTGTTAATTTGAGAAACAAGCAGCCATGTCTCACTTAACTGACCGTTGCCTCTACCAGAGCAGGTCTGTTGCCAGGTTTCTGAGGGCTGACAGCAGAGCCAGGCAGGCAGCAGCAGCAGCGTGGCTCCAGGGCACCTTTGCAGGCTTCCCCAGACCAATTCATCCTTGGGCTGAACATGTGGAGACCCTGTGATGGTTGGCACCTCCAGAAGGGAGCATTACACTGGCTGACTTCCCAAGACAGCACTGATGCCTTCACTTCAGAGCAGAGGTATGAAATATTCATTGTAGGAAATTTTTTGTGCCCTAGACAGCGGGCATCTTGCAGCCACGTGTTCTTCTCTGGCCGAATCCTTCTGTTGCCATGATACAGACACTCATGGTACTTCTTGGAGTGCCTGGCTTCCCAGGAGAACCGTAACACGCTCACAGCAACATAATATTTTTATTATTACAAAAGATTTCGTCAGCAAACTGCTGTCTGACATATCTATGTATTAAACATGGAAACAGCAAACAAACCCATCTAACGTTATAGGTTATTTAGTGTCTCAGCTGGTGATTCAGGTAAGTACAACTATTTTCCTTCTCCCCATCCATTCACTTCCTTGACTTTTCTTCCAACCAAAGCCCAAACAAGTTACAGATCAGAAGCAGCAGCTCCCAGTCCTGCTGCCTGCTGTGCCAGCTCCTGCAAGAAGAGCTGACCATTGCATTACCCATCCAGGGCACCCACACGAGTGTTAAAGTCCAGATGCTCCTCACGCATCACGTGTTGCTACCTTGCTTTTAACAGTCTCATGAGTGAAGAGATTAAGAGCACGCTCGCCATACAGTCATATTAAATGCTTTGTGTTAACAAAATAAACATCTGCTCCTCCCCTGTTGCTGGCTGATGCCAGAGAAGATGCCCACACTCATGCAGTCACCAAGGTCCAAAAAAAAAAAAATAATAAAAGAAAGTCTAACCAGACCTGCTGTGCTTCTTCAGTG